TCGGGCCTTCGGGTTGGGTTGGGGTGGTTTGGTGGGTGGTGAGATCCCCGAGGAGAAGGAGCGGGCTCCGGTGAAGGGGCCCTGGGACACACAAATAAATGCACACAAATAAACAGATTCCCCATATTTTCCCATATTTTCTGGGGATTTTGTCTTCCCGCCCAATTCCCATATTCCCATATTTTCTGGGAGTCGACGAATAATTGTGTCTGTGTGTTTTTTTCCCTCCAGGAGAGAAGCGATCCCGACTGCAGGGCGTGGCGCGCGGAGGGTCCACAACCTCCGCCGGCGGCACCCCGGCCAGCTCGTCTGGGGACGGCTCGCCAGCACAGCTCGCCGCCGGGGGAGGGGGAGGGGAAGGAGGGGGAGGAGGAGGAGGAGGAGGAGGAGGAGGAGGAGGAGGAGGAGGAGGAGGAGGAGGAGAGGAGGAGGAGGAGGAGGAGGAGGAGGAGGAGGAGGAGGAGGAGGAGGAGGAGGAGAGGAGGAGGAGGAGGAGGAGGCTGAGGAGGGAGGAGGAGGAGGAGGAGGAGGAGGAGGAGGAGCTTGGGGCGGAAGGCTCCAGCGGCTCGGGGTGTGCGCCAGTCGGCGCTAGCGGGGCAGCACCCCCGTCAGCGGATGCCCCCGCGCCCGCGGAGCTTGCCGAACGAGCGCACGAAACGAAAGCGCAGGTGGACTGGCTGAGCCAGGTGATCCACCCACGCGGGACGAAGAAGGTGCCCAAATTAGACGACCGTCCCATCAGCGTTGACGAGGACCGGGTTAAGTTGCGAAGCACGTGAAGGATTTCTGAGCCGAGCACGTCACTAACCAAGTGATGCCGCACAACCTGGACGAGCGCGCCGAGGGCTTCGTGAAATTATTCAGCAAGCAGTGAGAGGAGTCTATTGGTGATTTTGGACTGGAGCAGCTCGCAGATCTGACATACAGCTATGGCATCATACACTCAAACAGATCATTCGTATATTGCAGGATCTGTCTTTGGTTAGGCTGGTACCTCGGGTCGATTTCCCCGGTCATCCATGATTCCGACAGATCACCAAAGCAGTCCGAGCGCAGTGGCCTGCATGGCGCTACCCCCAAGAATGGATGGATTTACACCAGGCGTGTCGAGCGATATGGACGTCTGCCTCATCATGGATTGCCCTGGCATCTCCCAGCGGCATTCCCTGAGATCCTGGCGACTCAATTTCTTCAAGCCAGGCGTTTTCGCCTGTTTTCGGGCCCCGAACTGGGGCCGTCTCGTCATTCGTATCCGGTGTGCGGGTTCGGGCTCTTCCTCTTGCATCGTGCCCGGGGCGGGTGGGCACCGAAGAGGACGAGACGCTGCGACAGCCTCAACCTTGTGCTCCAAATGGGGGTCCTGCTCCCAGGGCAAAGTGATCGTTCGCTGGAACGTCTAGCTTCCTAAGCCCACACCCTTTTCACAATATTCTTTAACGTTCGGGAACCGCGTGATCCAAGTGCACACCATTTTCACGATATTCTTTAACGTTTGGGTCGACCCGCGTGATCCAAGTGTCCGTGCATTCTCCTTCGTCTTGGTTTCAAGAGTGGCCGTCAGGAGGAGGAGCATCAGAGAAAGAGAGGGCGAGAGAAAGAAGGTGATGAACGAATCGCGGTTCAAGTGCAACCTCGTCTGGGCGACCTGCAAGCTGAGATGGCCTCGAATTGTTAATCCGACTGTTTAGGGGTCGTTGACGGCCGCTTTCGAAGATGTCCAATGCTGAGGCGGCCGGGGGGGCACTGCTGTCGAAAAGTCTGCGTGTGAGAGTCCTGATCTGGTTTTCCGCTCCGCCGACTGCCTCGCAGGGAGGGGGCCGAGGGGGCCAGACTTTTTTGTTTAAATATAGCTTCTATCATTATTATTACAATTATTAATACTACTATTATAAATAATACTGATATCAATATTACGAGTAGTATTATTATTCTTATATTCTTCGAATGTGCTTTCATTATTGTTTATGCTTATAATTTCTTTAGTTTGTTTTTGTCGGAAGGGGCCCCTCGCCTCCTCGGAGAATGGCCCCGAGGGAGCCAGACTCCTGGGAGGCGAGGGGCCCCATTCCGACCTCGTGGACTTCGGGCTGCTCCCGTGCGTCCTGGAAGCGGGCGGGACGCCGTCGTCTGGACCGCGGGGAGCGGGGCGACAGGGCAGCAGGGCGGCGTCGTAGCACAGTGTGGCTCGAGAGGGCTGCCGAGCTTGGGCTCGGACTCGAGCGCTCAGGCCCAAGAAAATGGACGCAGATGCTGGGGAAACCAAAAAACAATCGACACCGCTACTCCTAGAACCTCTCCTGGGGTGCGTTCTGGCCAAAATTTCGAAGCGAATCCAGCGGTGGCGACGACGGAGGCCCAGGAGGCCCAAAAAGGAGGAAAACGAGGGGAGGGTTGAGGTATCGGTACCTTTCCTTCCTCTGAGAGTAGACTCGAGCGCTCAAGCCCAAGAGAATGGGCGCAGAGGCATCGCCTTGAGCTCGGCACTTGACGGGTGCGCTGGCAGATCGGCGCGCTCGATTGACGGAGTAAACCAATCATCACCATCATCACCATCACCATCATCAGCATGACCAGCATCACCACCACCACCACCACCACCACCACCACCACCACCACCTCCATCATCATCATCATCATCATCATCATCATCATCATCATCATCAGCATCAGCATCAGCATCAGCATCATCATCATCAACAACATCATCGTCAGCAGCATCATCATCATTATCATCATCACCGGCATCATAAGCAGCAGCATCATCATCAATCTTAACACCATCGTCATCATCAGCAGAATCAGTTTCATCATTACCGGCATAAACAGCAGAATAGTCGTCCGTATCATTATCCTCATCATCATCATAATCAGCAGCATCACCATCATCATCACCACCACCATCATCATCTGCATCTTCATCACCATCATCAGCATCATCATCATCGTCATCGTCATCGTCACCACCACCACGATCATCAAAATAATCCTCATCATCACCACCACCATCATCATCAGTATCATCATTACCATCATCAGCATCATCACTACAACCATCATCATTATCATCATCAGCAACACCATCAGCATCATCCTCGTCGTGCTCGGTCTTGGCCACCGCGACGAATACCCCGAATGGCTCCCAACAGCATGGGGGGATTCCCCTGATACAATCCAGACAGTAGTCGCCCTCTACGCACGTAAACGTTGTAAACATTTATCCTTACGACCATGAAGCACCAGAAGTCTCACGCGAAAAAAAGCAGACCTCCATTCGTCGCGTGATTGCTGGAGCATTCGTGAACCAGGAACATCACTTAGGAGAAATCGCAAACGACAACTGGTTCTGAACAAGAACTGCCATCCAACCTGTCGTTACGACCTCGGCGTTGGTTCCTGACACCGCGTGGAACGTTCAACCTGGAATCGGCGGCTTTTCGATCACCAAATCGCTCCGTGTTCACCAGTTCTGGGACACTGGCGGAGTTCAACCTTGAACGCACGTGGCGGGGACGCCGCCGACTCGACTCGACGCGAACCTGCCGTAAGTGACTGTTGAAATTGTCAAACCACAAGGTGAGAAAACAGGATGGAGTCCAGCGCGAGGGCCCGATCTCGAAAGCAGCGTGCCATCCGTCGGCGTAAGAAGCGACGGGTGTTGCAGCAACGTGGGCATACAAATGCGAGGAGGCCTCTGGCGAGGGCCCGATTTCGAAAGCCATCCGCCCCCGCACGTGTCCCTGTCGGAGAACTCCAAGATCAGGATCGCACTCTGCAAGAAATTCCAGAAGGATGGAGCCCGACTTCTGGGACCGGCCGGCTTCCATCCATGCAGCTGTTGGCAATGCCAGGAAATAAAGGAACACAAAGTTCCACGAAGTCTCCAGCGAAACGCTCGGACTGCACTTGCCATTCCGTCTGTGAACCCTCTGCCTGCCACTCCTGCCGTTCCTCATTCCCTTTCTCCCAGTCCTCCTCCACCTCCACATAGTTATCATCATCGTCATCACCACCACCACCACCATCATCAGCATCATCAACATCATCCTCATCATCATCATCATCATCATCATCATCATCATCATCATCATCATCAGCATCGTCATCATAGTCATCATCAGCATCATCCTCATCAGTATCATCATCATCATCCTCAGCATCATCATCAGCATCATCATCATTATCATCATCAGCAGCAGCATCACCATCATCATCATCATCATCATCATCATCGTCATCATCATTATCATCATCATCAGCAGCAGCAGTATCCTCATCATCACCATCAGCAGCAGCATCTGCATCATCATCACCATCGTCATCATCATGATCATGATCATCATCATCATCATCACCACCATCATCATCACCACCATCATCACCACCATCAGCATCATCAGCATCAGCATCAGCATCATCATCATGAGAATCATCATCATCAGAAGCAGCATCAGCATCATCAGCATCATCATAAGCATCAGCATCATCATCATCAGCAGCAGCAGCATCGTGATCATCACATCGTCATTGTCATCGTCGTCGTCATCATCATTATCAGCAGCAGCATCATCGCCATTATCATTATCGTATTCATCGTCATCATCATCATCATCATCATCAAGCGTACTCATCGTACTCATCATCATCCTCCTTCTCGGCAGTATCAGCATCATATCACGCCTCTTGATCTCTCTCCTCGTCCTGCTATTCCCATCCCCATCGCCTCTGTTATGTCGCTCCCCTCCTAAGCAAGCCGCCTGAGTGAATTCGGAATTCAATCACAAGCCGTTCGTGTGAGAAGGTAATCGGCCGTCGACTGCAATGCTTTCACATTGGCGCTTGGCGAAGATCTATTGCAACGAGAGGCTCGAAACGGCATCGCCCTAGACAGTTCCGATCGCGAGTGAATCTAACTGTGTCTGGCATGCGGAAATGCGAACTCCGCCCAACCCCTACCTCCCCTCCCCTCCCCTTACCCTCCTCCGTCTCCGCTGGAGGGTCGCCTGGCCGCTGTCCTCGGGATGCCGCGAGCACGTTACGACACCGAGGTGGAACTTCACCGGAAACGGCCCCGACTCCACTGTGTATCTCAACGTAACGGTGCTGTGACTCAGGGCAGCCAAGACAGCAGGGATGGCAAGATGTAAACCCCTCAGAGGGCGCAGGGGACGAATGACGAGAAGGAGGGGAAGCATGAGAAAAACGAGGATAAGGTGGAATAAGTGAGCGGGGCATCGGCATGAAGAGAAAAGAGAGGGAGGGGAGGAGAGGTGGAGATAAAGGGAGAGAGCGAGTGAGGGTGGGAGGGGAAGGGAGAGGAGTTAAGGACAAATTAGGTGCGTTCGCGCTATATCTGACATCCTACCCCATCCCAACCCATCCCTTAACATTGCGCTAATTTGTCTCCATCCGTCAACGGGTGTCATAGCGGACATGACACCCCTGAAAATTGCACCATCGTGACGGATGAGCAGGATAATGAGCAGGAGGAGGAGGAGGAGGAGGAGGAGGAGGAGGAGAGATCAGGATGAGGAGAAACAGCAGCAACAGCAGGAGTGTGATGAGCAGAAGGAGCAGGAGGGCCAGGGGAAGGCGGAAGGGGGAAGGAGCGGGGCGACAACGATGAGGATGGACTCGGATCCAGCAAAATGGCCCGCGCTGGGGCGAGAGCGCCAGTCGGAACGACGGGAGCATAGCTGCGATCCTAAGGTAAGGCCCACGCTGCAGCGGGAACATCATTTCGAAACACCAAAACAGCTGCGATTGCGAAACAACATGAAATACCAAAATAGAAATCCCGTACACATGACATGCACGGAGAGGGCGGGAGACTTTCAGCACGTAGTCGGGGGAGAGGCGAGTAGTACTCAGAGTGAGCGCTCTCAATTCCGCAATAAAGAAGGGGGTCTGATACCCTCCAGACGGGCCGCTTCTGACACCCCCCCCGTCGGGAGAACCACCAAGACCAGGGCTGAACCTAAACGGTGTTTTTGGTTTTCGTTATGTTTTCGTTTTTTCCTCGTTTTGTCTTCAATCCGCCTGTAGCGCAAAACGAAATCGAAACGAGAACGGCCCACGAAATCGCCAAAACACCGTGTAGGTCCACCCCTGACCCAGACCTCTTCGCCAGACCCCTCTCACCCTCCAAGACAACTCCAAGTCACCCCCCCACATCAGACCCCCGCCACTTCACTACGGAATTGAGAGTCATTGTGGAAGGGGACGAAGGGACGGATAAGAATGAGGAGACGGATGAGTATGGAGGAGAACTGGAAGGAAAGAGGGGGTGAGAAGAGGACGATCCTGTTCAATCCCTGCCGCTTCGGATGACCTGAATCACCACTGCTGCCACTGCCGCTGCCGCTGCTGCTTCCGCCGCCGCACTGCACGTCCAGGACTCGCTCCCTGATGCCTCCGGACACGCAGCGCAAACTGCCGGCGTACTGAGACAAAGGCCCCTCGGGTGCGTACTCCTTTGGCCCAGCCTCGATGCTGGGCTTGGGGAAGCCACCGCCACCGAACCAGACGCTTGCCAACCACCGTCGGGCTGCTTCCTCGGGGGAGGCGAGACGGAGGAGGAGGAGGAGCATGAGAAGAGGGATGTGGAAAGGGAGTGGGAGGAGAAGCAGCAGCATCAGCAGCACCAGCAGCAGCAATTCAGCAGATCAGCGCCGCCCTATTGTTGAGTGATACGGCAAGGGCCCCCCTGCCCTGCGAGACACTCAGACGGAGTAGGAGGATGACGGCGAAAACGACGTCTACGAAGAGGAGGAGGAGAAGCAGGAGTATGAGGCGGAGCAGATGGGGAGCACTAGACAAGGGTCGCGAGCGTGAGCGAGAGCAGGTGGAGGACAGAAGAGATGAGAAAGGCGAAGAAGCAGCTGGGGCAAGAAAGAGGGAGAGAACAAGGAGTAGTGGAAGATGGAATAGTGGAAGAAAAAAACTGGGCAGAGAAAGAACAAGTGGAAGATGGAAGAGTGGAACATGGAATAGTGGAATAGTGGAAAAAGGCAAGAACTGGGGAGAGAAAGACAGAAGAAGGAATAGTGGAACAAGTGGAACGATGGAGGACGAGGAGGACAAGGGAATCAATGAGCAGGGACAAGAAGGATGAGGGGCGAAGAACGAAATGTTTGCCAACCATCGGCGGGACGCTTCCGCGGGAAGGCGGCAGGGGAGGAGAAGGGCGGCGGGGAGATGGAGAGGACGAGGACGAGGGGGCGACGGGGAAGACGAGGAGGAGGCGTAGCAGCAGCAGGAGTGGCACGAGGGGGATGAGGACAAGAATCAAGAGGAGGAAGAGCAGCAGCAGCAGCAGCAGCAGCAGGAGTGGCACGAGGGGGATGAGGACGAGAATCAAGAAGAGGAGGAGGAGGAGGAGGAGGATGAGGATGAGAAACAGAAGGAGGAGGTTGGGAACGAAGAGGGAGGAAGGAGGGGGGAGGACGTTTGCCAGCCACTGGCGAAGACAAAATGGAGGAAGAGAAAGAAGAGGGAAAGCAGGAAGAAGGCCCGGGGAGGAGGGAGAGGGGGACCAGTGGGGGAGGTGGAGAGGGGGACGGGGTAGGAGTAGGAAATAGGAGTCAAGTTAGCCAGGTCGAGCGAGTCAGGGGCCCCGCCCGGTCCTGCCCCCCCTACCACAACACAGGAATCCGTCGTGACACAATTTGCTGCCAGGATTCGAACGCGTTCCCGCCTCGCAAACGGAAGTCCGACGACTTGGCGCAGGGAAAACTACGCGGGCCGCGCAGGGGCGGGAGCGGCAGAACTTCTGACGAGCGCGGCGAAGACGAAGCTTGCGCCACGCTGACACAGCGCTGCCATTTTCACAAACAAGCTGCGCGGCGCCTGGGCGCGGACGGAATGTCGCACGCTCTTGCGAGACCCCGCTGCCGCTGTCGCTTGCACGCGATTCGGCGAACGAACCATGCGCCGTGCCCGCGCGGGACACCTCTTCCGGGCAGAATGCGCACGGAGCTTGGGCGAAGGCGAGAAGTCGCCCACCCGCGCGGGCCCCCAAAAAACAGCGAGTGACAGTGATGCGCCGCGTCGAGGCGGGAACGCCACTTTCAGGCGAAATCTGCGCGGCGCCGGGGCGAGAGCTACATTTTTCGTCCGCTCGCGCGTCGACGAAGCGGCGTGCGAAAAATGTGGACCGCGTGCCAGCGGGAACTCAACTCTCTAGACGGATGAGAGCAGCGTCGAAGCGAGAGCGACGTTGCGGCCTTTCGCACGGGATGCTCGCCTCGTCCCATCTCTGCCACGCATTTTGCAACATGGACGACAGAATGCCCGTGTTGAGACAAGCACTGTCGACTGCAATTGGATTGCTCATAAAAACTATGGAAAGGCCCATATATGGCGGCTAACGATAGGCCGGCTAGGTGGCAGAGTGGACTTGTATGTACGTATGTATGCATGCATGCATGCATGTATATATGTGTAATGTGCATAAAGAGGCACACGCATCTATATATATATATACACACACACATACACACACCAATGAGGAAGAAGGATAAGACAATGAGAGGAACAAGGAAGTCCTGTTGCAAAGCACTCAACGGGGCAGGGATAACAACAGTAGCGCTTACAATCATACCAATACCATGAGGCGGAGGAGGCGGAGGAGGAGGAGGAGAAGACGGAGAAGGACTGGGAAGGGCTGGTAGTAAGAGCAGAGGGGGTGGCAGAAACCAGACGCTTTGCAACCACGGGCGGCCCGTTTCCTCGGGGGTTGCCCCGGACAGCAGCACCGCCTTTTCGATCTTGCAGGCGCCCTCGGGGATACTCCTCTCATGCCCTTCGGCTGAAACTTGACGGCCGCCTGCAGCGGCCGATCACTATCCAACAGAATCGTCACGGCCATCACCGTCATCATCATCATCGTCATCATCATCATCAGCATCATCATCAACATCATCTGCACCATCAGCATCACCGTCATCGTCACTACCATCACCTTGTTTGAAGCATCGCCTACAAACCGCAAGTGTGGATAAGAGTGAAGTGGACCAGTGTGTGGACGGAGCCTCCTCCTCCTCCTTCTCCTCCTCCTCCTCCTCCTCTTCCTCCTCTTCCTCTTGCTTTTTCTCCTCCTCGTGCTGCTGCTGCTACGAGCGCGGAGCCCCGTCTGTGGCACGCGCGCCCCCACGCGGACACTGAGCGTGGCCGAGGTGGCGACGACAAGGTGGAACCTCAGGGCGCCAAGCGGTCACGCTGCGGCGGCGCGCAGCGCGGCCGCCTGGGCGGCGCTGTCCAACCCGAGGGCAGACCACAGTTGCCGAGTTGTGGCACGGTGGAGGGCCACACTAAGCTCCCAGCCCCACCAGGCCACCAGCTGCCCCGCCAGGGCCTCCGCCTCGGCCTCGTCGCCCTTTGCCCGCAGCGCGGAGTGCTCCCTGGCTAGGCTGCGGGGGTACCGGAAAACCACCTAACCGCACTAGCCGGCGGTCCCCACCACACGGGGCACCATCTGCCAAAATGCCTGCCCCACCAGCTCTGCTAGTCCGCTCCCGCGGCGTCGTTCAGTGACATCGACGGCCGGCAGCTGCCTGCAGCCCGCCGATGACACCCGGCACGCTGTACCTGATCGTCGACGGAGGCATCGAAGAAAGTCCGCGGCTGGCCAGGCCGCTGCACCCCCAGGTCCAGGAAGCCTGCTAACGCTCGGCGGCCGCGCCACGGCAGTCTCGCGCGCGTCGCACCCCGCGCAGCGCCACGGCCAGCGGCCCCAGGGTGGGACGCGGACCTGGCGCACGGCGCGATGGCCACATTCTGCATGGATGCGCTCCCGGGCGCGTTCATGGTCCTACTGCGAGACTTCAGGCCCCCGCCGCGCGAGCAGCGCCAGGCGTGGCGAGCCTTGCCGCAGAGCGCCTCGCCACAGCGCTGCCCTGCGGGTTCGCCCGCGCGGGCGCGGTTGCTGCAAGTCGCCCTGGGCGGTGCAGCGTCTCGCCCCAGGACGCAGCGGACAATGTCACTGTAGTGCGCGTCCTCCAGCCGCTGGCAGGCCTGCCCGGGCGCGGCCGTCTGCCAACAGGAAGCGCGCGGCCCGCCGAAGGAGCGCATGAGCGCCCTCTCCTCCAGCCCCAGGGCCTTGAGCAAAGAAGTGTAATTGTTGATATAAATCCTTTCAGCGAAGGCCTCCTGGTCGACCAGCTCTTGCCAGGTGGGCAGCTCGGCTGGCACCGCGCAGGGGCGGGGCGGCGACGGCGCCTGCCGCGCGAGCCCGGCCAGCGCGTCGCAGCAAGCGCCGGCAAGCGGGAGCGGGCATGCCACCAGGATGTGCAGGCAGGCGAGGCCAGTCCGTTCCCACACGCAGCTCAGGCTCTGCGCCCAAGAGGCAGCCTAGGGCCTAGGCCGCCGCCGCCAGCTGCCGCTGGCTGCGCAGGCCGCGCCCGCCGGTCCGTAGGGGCGGCCAGCACAGCGCCCGTTGCGGCTCCGTCAACGGGCCCACCTACAAGTGCTCCTCGCAAGCCGTCAGCATGGCCTCGTCGTAGGCCACAGCCGCGGCCTCCGAGCTTGCCGGCGGGCTTGTCTGGAGAAGGTGCGTGATCTTGATGGCGCCGCATTAGCGTAGCAAGAGCTGGCGGTCTGCGGGGCCCGTAACTGCGACGAGGTCGCGGCGGGGAAAGCTGCGAGTTTGGCGCGGAGCACTGCCGCTCGCCCCGCCGTCTCCGCGCAGCGTGCCTTCGCGCAATCCGCCGCGCCGAAATAGACGCCGCGCCCGTCGCTCTCGTCCAATAGCTTCCCAGCGGGCAATGGGCCTCCGAGTGGCACGCCCACGAGGGCCAGGTCGGACCAGGCCTGCGCCTTCGGCGGTCCCAATTCCAAGCCAAGGTCAGCCAGGACCGTCTGCGCCGCCGCCTGCACTTCGCCCGCGAACGCCGCCGGCACAAGCACGACAACAACGTCGAGGTAGGCGGAGACGCGCACGTTGTCTGACCCCAGCCCCCACTGCCCCGCGGCCACCCGCAAGGCTTCTCCATGGCTCGCAGGCGGGGCCGCATCCCGCAGGCAAAGAGCAGCGGCGCAAGCGGGCCCCCCAGGTCCACCCCGCAAGGAGGGCGCGGGCGGTAGCAGACCCCTGCCGCGCCCCAGAAGTAGCAGAGGCACTCCCTGCGGCAAAAGAGGTTGGCTTGGGGCAGCAGGGCCAGCAATACCTGCTCTAGCTCCCATAGAAAGGCCTCCCTGTCGGCGGAATATTACGCGTTCTTTGCGTCCAGCGCGACCGCCACCAAGCAGGGATCGGCGCGGCGATGGGCCGGACCCCGCCGCCTGGCTTCCACAGCCGCGTGAGTTTCGCCAGGGCCAGCGCCGCGCTGGTGCTCTCGGGAACCCGTCAATCTGCCACCCACTCGCAGATTCTGCAGAAGGCAGTCTGCGAGGTTGGCTCGGCGAGCACGATCCGCCAATGCTCGAACCGCTCGCCGCCGCCAGTTGCCCCGCTGCCCTGGGGGGTGCTCTTGAGAGGCCTTCTCCTCCTCCTCCTCCTCCTCCTCCTCCTCCTCCTCCTCCTCCTCCTACTCCTCCTCCTTCTCCTCCTCCTCCTCCTCCTTCTCCTCATCCGCCTCCTCCTCCTCCTCCTCCTCCTCCTCAGTATCCTCCTCCTTCCCCCTGGCCCTCATCCTCATCTTCCTCCTCTTCCTCCTCGTCCTCCTCTTCCTCTTCTTCCTGCTGTTCCTCCTGTTCCTCCTCTTCCACCTCTTCCTCTTCTTCCTTCTTCCCTATCTAGGCTCTGCCTAGAAGGGTTCTTACTCTCTGGGCTTAAAGGGGCCGGGTAGTGGAAAGCGCCCTGGGCGGTTCCCCCAGTATCCGCCCCGCGGTTCCCCCAGCTATGTCCCCTTAGCTTAGCGTTGCTTATCTCATCTTAGCTTAGCCTAGCTTAACTTAGCTTAGCTTAGCTTAGTGAGCGTTTATGTATTCTGGGTTTCGTCATTTGGCGCAAGGGGGGAGGGGTGGGGGGTCCGGCTCTCGTCCCGTAGTCAATACCTCCGATTGAATCATCTTGAAATTTTCAACATAGCTTAAAATTCAATATTTGAGCCTCATGAGGCGTGAAGCTGGTAAACAAACTCATTCTAACAATTACAATACAACGCAAACGTTTATGAAACTTATCGATGATTTAAAATGTTTTATGATATATTGTGAAATGTCTTAGTCAATATATTTCTGACGTGTAGAATCAACATATTTCTGACGTAACATCACTTAATATATTTATCACGTATTTTTAAAAAATCTTTTATGGAAACAATGTAGTTCCCACGTCAAAGACCGGCGGGGCTGCGCCAAGGCTATGCGTGATTGTGCGGGGCTGTGCCAGGATTACTATGGATCACATATTCATGATTCCACAAGGCCGTCGGTGGCATAACAGGGGAGGGCCCAACCGGAGGCATGCTTTTTGGCGATCGGGTCCGGCGCCCCTGAGCCCTTTCGTTATGGTCCCAGAAGAATAGCAGGAAAAAGTTCGCACAGTTGCACACATCAACGATTCGAGCTTCTACGGGGGGGGGGGGGGGGCGCCGGCCCCCGTAGCTCGTCCGATCGACTGAAGCAGGTGCCCAAATCAGCCCATAACTTCTCTACGGGGGGGGGGGGGGGGGGGGGGGGGGGGGCGGGGGGGTTCCGCCGAAAGCAAAAAAAAATAAAAGAACGATCACTTAACTTAGCCTAGCCTAGCCTAGCTTAGCTTAGCTCAGCTTAGCTCAGCCTAGCCTAGCCTAGCCTAGCCTAGCTCAGTTTAGCTTAGCTTAGCCCAGTTCAGCTTAGCTTAGCGCAGCGCAGCATCAGCATAGCACAGCATAGCATATCATGTCATAGCATAGTATATCATATCATAGCGCAGCATAGCATGGCGCAGCATAGCATAGCATAGCATAGCGTAGCATAGTATAGCATAGCAAAACTTAGCTTAGCATAGCACAGCACAGCATAGCAGAGCATAGTATAGCATAGCATAGCATAGCGCAGCATAGCATAACATAGCATAGCGCAACATAGCATAGCATGTCATAGCATAGCACATCGCAGCATAGCATAGCATAGCATAGCAACGCATAGCAAAGCATAGCATATCATGGCATAGCCTAGCATAGCATAGCATAGCGCAGCATAGCATAGCGCAGCATAGCATAGCGCAGCATAGCATAGCATAGCATAGCGCAGCATAGCATAGCATAGCATAGCCTAGCATAACCAAGCAAAAGCAAAACCAAGCAAAGGCAACAACAAAAGCAAAGCAAAAGCAACAGCAACAGCAAAAGCAAAAGCAAAGGCAAAGGAAAAAGCAAAGGCAAAAGCAATAGCAAAGGCAATGCAAAGCAAAAGCGAAACCAATGCGAAAGTGTAGATGCAGATTTAGATATAGGTGTTGGTGTAGATGTAGATGTAGATGTAGATGTACATGTAGGTGTAGATGTAGGTGTAGATGTAGATGTAGATGTGAGTGTAGTTGTAGATGTAGATGTAGATGTAGATGCATGTGTACATGTAGATGTAGCTGTAG